CTGTTTTCCTCTTGCAAGGAATCCAAGGCAACTTCCATAGTTCTCCTGTACTCCATTTTATCTGCATAACAACAACCCTGTAAGGTAGGTTGGGCTGAAAGTGAATAACTAGCCCAAAGTCAACCAGCTAACTTTACAGCAGAGTGGTGACAGAACCCAGCATTCCCAGATCCCTGTCCAGTTCTCTAACCACTCCGCCATACCATCACTATGCTTCCTTTAAATATGTGTGAGCTTTGCACAGAACCTCTTGCATGTCCCAATTTTTTGGGCATATTCATGCACATTCACCCATAACTCTGTCAATTGAAGATAATACTTCACACATTTGTGGAAATAGGCTCTAGTCCATGGAAGCATATACCATAACAATACAGTACTATACAAGTCTACTCAAAAGTAAATCCCATTAACTTAGTGGAGCATAATCCCAGGAAAGTATTAGACGACTGAAGCCCAAATCTGCCTTCACTGCAATATCTTGGTGAGGAGGGCATTTCCACAAGCAAGTTGCTGTGTTGGTGAGAAAGAATTAAGCAGCTCTCTGCCTCCTGAACACACCCATACCCACAGTGAAGTATGTTTTGTTTAAAGCCTCATTAAAGTGAGGAATGGGAATTGTATGCGTGTGTTTGTATGCAAGGGAGTATGAGGTGAATCCAGGGCGATCACACTGGAGCTGTTTCAGAAGATCATTAAGTTACGGGAATAACTGGGTAGCGCTGTGCTTCTACTAGTACAAAGCCACCACTGAATAAAACTCAAGACTTATTTTGAAAGCCACAAAAGCATGATTTTTCTCTCCAGCCCAACAGAATTTTATCTTTCATTACAAATCTCCTCTTTCTCTGATTATCCATTCAAATTTGCAGAGGCATCACAACCAGGACAATCAAGGGAAAGACCTTGCATGCCACAGACTCTGTATCTCTGGCACAGGAAGAAAGGAATGCTCCCTTTTTAAGGTTACTAAAAGGTTGAACTTGTGCTGCAGCTGCTAAGCAGATTAATTATATTATCAAAATGTTGCATAATACTTCTAGCAAACTGCCCCCAACTACTCTGTCTAAACTAAGAGTGCCTTTTGGACCTTTTCCAAACAAACTTTTTCCATCCCATTATCCTTGCGGTGTCCTGCCAAATGATGGAGTCATTCTTGCAAATTCTGTCTACACTCCAGAAGTTTAATGGGACATAGTGTATAAGTTAATTTGGCTGCCACACATCATTCTGCACGTGCCCACAGGGAAAACCTAAAGCCTAGGACGGTTCTTAGCTTAGAGGAGAAGAATAAAGTTGATGGAAAGGAAACCATGATAAAGGCTTATAAAATTATGAACACTATAGTGAAGATGCAGGGATAGAAAAGATACTCAAGAATTATCCAATAAAATAGATGGGCATTACCTTCAGTTCAGACACAAGAAAGTGCTTCCTCACACAACGTAGGTTTAACTTGTGGCATTTGTTGCCACAAGTTGCCATGACAGCATCTGGCTTAGGGTCAAACTGCACATTATGTGAATTGTGAAGCATGTAAAGGACCTTCTTTTTCTTTTGCATAATTCTGTGCAGACCCAATTTGGCTTCTAACCAATACTCACTGACCTGGTTCACATTGACATGGCAACCCATCGGGGTAACCAGTGACAGCGGCCTGTCATATCATTCGAACCAAGACTACTTCCCACAGGAACAGGCCACCCGAAGAATCTATGGCTTATTCTAGGGGTTGTAGCTGGAGTTAGCATGTTACTTGAACTTGAACTTGGGAGTGCAATTTCACTGTAGGCTGCAGGGATCCGCTAGTGAGCTAGGCAGAAAAAAGCCCAGCTGCTCTTTGCGTTCTCCCTTGTGTTGCCCCCACTGACTACCCCTCCACCAATACCCAAGGAGCATTTTGGAATGACCATCACTGGTTTACTACCACTTTCTTTTTGGCTCCAGAATATTGTGCAACTACATTTACAATATTATTTTTATTATTGTCAGTGTACTCTTACAGCTGCCTAATATGTATAGTCTTTCCTGGTCAAATTCCTTGCTTGTTTCATCTGTCAAGCGGAGCGGAGTACTGCCTTTGATGGCTAAAACAGATAAGGAAATTAACCAGGAAAGACTGCGCCTGTCAGGTAACTAAGAGTGCAGTTGCAAAAATCCAACAAAGGTAATAATTAAATGAATTACAAACATAACTGCATACTTTTCAGGAGCTTAAAATAATAAAAAATACAACCTCAATTACACTTTTTGGGGCTCAAAAATTAATGTTGACCAGCAGCAATAAGAACAGGGAAGGCAGCGCTGGTTCTGTTGCAAAGGAAGCTGGGTCACATGGTGGAACCCAGCTGATCAGGACTGAGAGGTGGCGGACAACCCACAATAAGCCTTACAGTCTGGCATACCATGGATTGTTCAACAAACGAACAACCTACTATGGCTTATTCTCAGGGTGACTTAGCATTATACTTGAATATACCCTGTGGGTGGGGAAGATCAATCCTCCAACATTTGATCCCCAAATTCTATTCTCCAACAAGGGTATTTTGAAAAATATAAATTGGAGTGAATGGAGGCATTTTCGCCTTTTTACAATCCAGTGAAAGGGATGCATCCTCCCCTCCTGGTGTGCAGTAGTTTCAGACCAAATCTGGAACATGTGCAGTAAGCCTAAAGTACAGAAAAATATAGTGGTCCCTGACATTGTAGACAATTAAAGTGGAATTAACAAATTTGTAGGAGAGAGCTTATCATAGCTTTAACAGAACCTCCATATTCAGAGGCAGTACATCACTGAACTTCAGTGTCTAGGAAGCAGCAAGAGAAAGTAATACTGAAGTATTACTGAAGTATTCTCCAGCTGAAGCATAAAGTATTACTTTATGCTTCTGTTTCATGGAGTTTCCAGGGCATCTTGTTGGTCTAACAAGCGCTCTTAACTCCAGAATGCAATGTTTACACAAAGATGTGTGCATTCAAAAGACTATGTTGTTAAGTATAATGCTTCCAATGGTGTATTTTTTTTCTAATAAGATCTTGTATATCCATCAGAGAGTGTTCTCAACAAAAAGTACTATGCACTGGAACAAAAACTTCTTCCTCTTATTTTGATTTCTAGTATTAGAATATTCAGTCACCTGATAATAGTATTTATATGCACAACACAAGTTATAACAACCTACCCAATGTTGTGCTGACAAATCATCCAGGACCAGAAGGGATTATTTAAATGGAGAACACGATTAATGGCCTAAAATTAAGGTTACCTAAAGGAATGCTTCATCCATATATGCCCAGCCGCCCCTTGAGATCAGCGGGAGAGGCCTCCGTGAAAGAAATTAGGAGGGTGGGTACTCGGAGGAGGGCTTTCTCTGCGGTGGCACCTAAGTTATGGAATGCGCTCCCCAGAGAGGTCCGCCTGGCGCCGTCGTTATTTGCTTTTCGGTGCCAGGTGAAGACCTTTTTATTTAAGCGGCATTTTAACTGTTAGTATTATTTGATCTTATCTGGCCAGGGCGGCTTATTTTATATTGTATTTTTTGGATTTTTAATGTTTATATTTATTGTAATTTATATTATAATTACTTTTATTTATTGTTGTAAGCCGCCCTGAGGCTTCGGCGAATGGGGCGGCATAAAAATGTTTTAATAAATAAATAAAAATAAATAAAATATTAGAAAGGAAGTTTTCCTTCCTTTCTCTGCTTGTGGATTCCCAAGGAAAATCTAGTTAGAAAGTGTCAGACTAACAAGTCATTGGTCCAATTCAGTGCAACTGTATGATCTTATTGTAACTTACAAGAAAATGTAATCCTTTTTACTACAGGCAGTTCGTTAATGGTGCATAAATCTCTCTCTCTCTCTCTCCACACACACACACACTCACTCCTGCCAGAGATATTGCATGAATAGAATTCAAAATCCTTAAGTAAGATTTTGGGGGGTTTTATGGTCAACGGAAGCTTACCTCTTAAGTAGGATTACCTTACTTGGACCAACTGAAATGCTACAAAAGAGTTTTCAGGTTTCTGAGTTCTCTACAACTATTCATGGTACAAAACGTGTATGCGTAGGAAGGGATGTCCAAGAAGACACAAAATACTAAGTCAGTTGCTGTGGCCACAAGGTCTGAGGCTTGGATTCAATCAATCTGAAGATCGAGATTTCACTCAATGAATTGTTGAGTCTGGTAGGTGTTCCAAGGTATTAACGTTAGGGGATGCACTAGATAAAAAGTCAATGGAAACCAAATTGGATAGCTTTGCCAAGTGGTTGGAGGGAATGGAACTGTCAAAATGACTAATTCGTACAGTCTGCAATCTCCACATTGAACCAGCTATGCACACTTCATAGCTACAGCCCTGTAGCTTTGTGCCGGGACAAGGGGATGAAACAGTGATTTCTGTACTGCGTATTTTGGATTTTGGTTTTTTTATGGCCAAGGGAAGCTTGCCTCTTTGTTTTTTATGTCATACCAATAGCAAATTTACTCTGAGCCATATAGCTAGGAAAAGTTATGCTGTTAGTTATGTGGCAACAACTTATTCACCTGACTTGCATTTTCTGAGCCAAGTTGATTGGGTCTCCATTTACAAGGGGATCAGACTAGAGACAGATGTCCATGTGCAGAGGTAAAGTCACAATTGTCACAGATGTACTAAACCCTAACCAATTGATTCACCACAACTCCTTCAAATATACAGAATCATGCTTTATTATGATGCTAAAAATACTGGTCAGTTCTTATCGAATTATTTTAAAAATTCAATATCCACAAAGTGATTTTGCTAACCCAAGTTCTTTCTGCCAAGAACAATAAGATAACATTTTTGTAACATTACTGAAAGGCAAAGAGGAACTTATAAAAGTACATGTTTATACATTACATACCGACGCATAGAAGTAAAGTTACTGAAAGTATAAATATATAAAACAACCACCACAGATTTCAGGATCTGTAAGGATCTCAATAAAGTGATGTAGTCCTCCCTTAAACTTACCAATACTATAGTATCGCTTAAGATCTGTGCGCCTGATATCCTTTGGCTGGCTGCTCTTTTTCTTTTTTTTCTCATAGTCTTCCTTTTCCCCAGAAAGTTTGCAATTTTCTTGACAACCATTGTTTTGCACCAAAACAGTTCTGCTTCCATCCTCTTTTCCAGTCTGAGTTCTAGATGCTGGGGTACCAGAAGCATTTGTGGAAGCAGTTTCTGTGTTTTGCTTGGCTAGTCTCTTCTTTTTCAAACTGGGGAGAGACATGGAAGAAACAGAAACATACTTAGCTAACTTTGCCAGGAAAAAAAACCCTGGCCAGAGAGATAATAATTTTAAATTTATGCACCTCATTTCTGGCAGAAAATTACCAATTATCCAACAATGACCCTGTTAATTGTGACGATGATGATGATGATAAAGATGATGCTTCCCATGGCAAAAGATTATGCTTCTCATGAATTAAATTAAATTCATAATTAATGTAGTAAAAACAAAGATAAATCTCAACCAGCAATACAAATAAAATATATTTAATACACTTAATATATTTAATTGTATTTGTATTAAATTTTATTTAATACAAATAAAAATAAACACCAGAAAACATATTCCAAAAACCATACAATATGAAAAGTTTTCATCCAGAATACGCAAAATGTTCCCATCCACCCAATCTAGAATGAAAACAAAAGCAGCCCAAAATAAGTGGGGTATACATGATGTGCAAATTAAGAAAATAAGCATCATTTATTTGCTGTGTACCCTGCCTTACCATGAAGAAAATGATTCTCTAGGTGATTAAGAATATGAAAGGTAAAAAGATCCAAAATAAAAAAACATGGTTAAAGTAATCATAAAACAAATAAAATCTCATCAAAACAAACAGTGAGAGAATAAAAACAACACACAATCCAACAGCCTGGACTGGTTTTGAAAAGATGACAACGTTGGCACATTTTTTAAATCCACATTTAAAGATATTCAAACTGGTATCCCTCACCACATGTTGTGAGGGTTTTAGGAGACTCTTCGCTGAAGGCCCATTCCCAAATATTTGTCTTGGTTGCGGCACACAGAAAAAGGCCTCTGAAGCCACCCTCAGGAGCCAGGCAAGTTCATATGGGGAGAAGGTTGGAGTTTTTTGCGGGGGGAAACATGTAGTTCCATATCTAATAAGGTTATTATGACATCTTTCCATCTTATTTCAGCAGCGCATGGCTGCTGTGCCTTCCTTTCCAATGCTGCTTTGGGAACATAGACTGCCTGAGTTCACATCTGAGGAGCTTGCAAATGCTAGCATCTCTTGTCCAAGAAGCAGAGACAATGTTGGGACTGGAAAGCAGCAGAATGAGCTGCTTCAGGTAACCCTAACCCTAACCCTGACACCATTGTAGGAACATGGAACAAATACAGGCTGTACAGGCTATATACTACTGAGGCAATGTGAGAAGCTGGCCTTTATAAGCCTAAGATAAGTTTCATCTCAAACAAGACCACTCTGCTAATGTACTTGGCCAGCATGTATTTATTATGTCATCATCCCAACTTATAATTTCACAGTCAGCTGACCCTGATTTATGATTGGCTTTGTTTTTACACAAACATGCCATTCATTTAATTCAAGGTTATTTAAATCAGTGCGTGTTTTGAGGATACTATGAAGATCCACCAGTCAGAAATTAATTTCTCCAAAGATGTTGGAAGAATAACCTTCGGTTTCAAAAGTGAGCTTGACTATTGCTACCTATTCTGATTTGCAGCTCTTATTGCCTGGAAGTATATTAATAACTCACCTTGAACTTAATGGGGAAGGCTGATAGTACAGCAGAACACAAGTCTGCATGCAAAAGGTTGAATCTACATACCATGAATATTACTGAGCTAGACAGGCCACTGGTCTGACTCAGTACAAAGCAACCTTCTAAAAACAAAAACCAGCAAAAAGTTTGCAATTTTTCCCTGTCATATCCTCACTGGCAGTCGTTCTTTCAGAATGCACCCAAAATAACTATTTTGGACAGTACAAATAAATAATGCATCATTATTTATTTCATTTCTATGTGGCCCAAGAGGTGAAGCTCTCTGGATGGTTTACAACAATTCATTATATATATATATAGGTCATAAAATACCACATAAAATTTCAATATTTGACATTTGTAAGAATTTATATAGCTAAAAATAGTTTCAGTAAAAATGCTGAAGATGCTAAAACGCATGCCCCACCACATGCCATTAAATGCTTTGGAGAAGATGGCAGTCCTAACCTGGCGCTGAAAAGATTGTTGAAGGCTGACAAGCCTCAGTGGGGAGATCACTCCGCAGTTGAGAGGTAAACACTGATACTATGCTTATTTCAAAGCAATTTAAGATATACAAGATAAAGGGTGCTTAAGAAGTTGTATTTAAAGATCCATTAATTAAACATTTTATGTGGGCTATCTGCCAACATCATAAAAGAATCAGGTGGGCATAAACACAACATAAAGTTGCCTATCCAGGAAAACATCATGGAAAGCTGCTTTCTACTGAGTAAAATGGATCATTAGTATTATGATTACTCTGTATTATCTACAAGGACTGACAATGGATCTTGGGAGTGTCAGACAGGTATCTTTCCTAGTCCTCTCTGAATATGTCTGGGAGAGGACTTAAGATGTTCTGCATGCAAAGCATGTTTTCTGCCACTGATCTATGGCTCACTCACCAGAACTTCAGAAGACAATGTTTTTAATGTTTTGATTTAACAGCATATGTTCCTTAGCTTGATGAACTTTTGGGGGAGTTATGTTTATTTGTGTGTTTCATGGATACCATGCCTTTGTGTATCTGTATATTTTCTTAATAAATATATATTTCAAAAGGCAGTGTTGCTAAAGTAACAGCTTCAGAACTTCTAGAAGAGTTTCGTTTTCCTCCAAGACAACCCACTTATCAAAAGTTGAGCTACTGCAGATCTTGGAATGATCTTTCATTCATTGCTTCCTCATACAAGTCCGGTATTTTCAATGAATAAACTGCATGATGATGTAAGCTTGGAAATAACCTCTTGAAGGATGAATCATAGCTTTAGACATTCATATAGAATGCAGACATCTGTTTTTCCAAAGTTAACTTATCTGCAGTTCTTGTACGGGAATGCACTATCTTTTATGAGTAGAACGAATATCACAGAGCAAATTTTATTCTGGTTATACATACCATGAAATTATTATGGATCTCTGGATAATATTAAAAGCATGACTGCCCCCAGCTGACCAGTGATTTGCCAGCCAATGCTGTGGCAACTAACCACTCTCTTGGCATGCCAAGGAATGCAAACCAATAAATACTTCACACTTACAGCCTAAGAAAACGCTGCAGTCCCTGAACTAGACTAAATCTATGATATAAAACACAAAAAAAACCCTCTGTGTTTGACCAAATGGTGCCCTTGGAGAGACAGTGTGATATAGTGATTAAGAGCATGAGAATGGGACTCAGGTGATCTGGGTTCTAGTCCCCGCTCAGCCATGGAGCTCACTGGGTGGCTTTGGGCCAGTCACAGACCCTCAGCCCAGCCTACTTAACAAGCTTGTTGTTGTAGGGATAAGACTGAGAGCAGGAGGAGGAGAATGATGTAAACTGCTTTGTGTGCTTAAGGAAAAAATGAGATATAAATCTATAAACAACAAGGCATTGGCTGGAAATAGCAGACTAATACTCACATGAAGTACAGTGTGTAACTATACAAAATATTCTGCCCTGTGACATTATTAACTGAAGATCATGCTGGTGTCAAGTGCAATTTATCAGGAGGCTCTGGAGAACAATCCAAACAATGAGAACATAAAACACAGTTTTGCATGTTTTTATCAGAGGCCCATATGTACTTTCATTGTGGAACCCACTTTGGATCTTATGGGAATCCCTGTAACTGCCTCCAAAATAATAATTACAGCCCAATATCAAGAGTGATTATTTCTCTGAGTGAGCGCATTCATTTAGTGTACTCAGTCCAACATTCCATAAAACCAGGAGGACCTCCACCTATTCCCGTTTCCAGTTGTACACAAAATCAAGAGGAACCATTGTAAAATCAGATGAGACACAGCATCCACACTGCTGCTCTCCTGGTGCTACAAACCCCAGGAAAACAAGCACCTGCTTTTGGCAGATGCTTTTCTGCCATCTAAACTGTGTGTTGATGCACCAAGGTCATTCCTTCACCTGCATCTCTGGGATTGCTATTCTTGGACATAACTGTGCAGGCCTCTGATGTACATATGCAGCGTAACTAAGCCTCGTAAGCCACCTACATGAAGCCTTTATGAATGACTTACTCATCAGTTTAACAGCCATACAGAGCCGTGACCGGTACAACAGAAGTGCAATCCACACCAAGAAATGAACAATACTGGTATTGCCCAGTGCAGAACAGTTCAGCTGGGAATGCAAAATGCAATTCACCTGCATTAATATATCCAGTCAATGAAATCATAGCCTCTTAGAAATGCCACTACATCTCCAAAACCTGATAGGAACCGTACAAGTTTCTTAACACATTGATATATTTATTTAAAACTCACAGGATTCAATGATCTTCAGAAACATTATCACTGCAACAAACAATACTTTTTCTGTCAAAAATATAATTGGTGAATTGCTCAAAGTATGTCTTAACATATTTTAAGTATTTTGAGCCTAATGTTTCACAGGAGTCAAGATGCCTCAAGTTAGGCTAAGGGGCACCTAGACCTAACCACAGGGAAAAGAACATTATACAGGTTCAGTTCTACTGATGTGGTGGATAGTATCCAAACCATCCTCACTAATCCTATTCTGCTTCCCACCAATCTTGTTCTCTAAGCAAAACTATGTTGTGCGACAGAGAGATGTCCTGCTTCCAGAGCAACTGGGGATGAACAGCCACACTTGTTTCTGGAACTAGGAAATCAGTGGAGTTTGTCTAAAGGAGCTCCGTGGATCCATCAGCAAATTTGTTGCTGAGAGAAAACTTCTGTTCACAGGAGTCTCAAGTAATCCCAGTTGTGCAAAACTTGTGGCGAGTACCTCAACTGTTATAAGCATCACCTCTCAGCCACCAGACTGTCAGTTTGAAGAGTTCTGTGTGAAGATGCAATATCAGAACCTGCAGCAGTGGATTCCATTGAAGAGACAGCTTTCATGGATTCTGACAAAGTGTCACAGGCTGGTCTCTTTCCTCTAGTTCCAAAACTCAAAACAATCCTTTGAAAATGCAGTTCTTTT